CAGGAGCACTGGAAAAATAATAGATATTTATTCTATTAGATTAAATCTAAGAAAAATAAATGGTATCTTTATGTCAAGTGATGTTTTGTTGTTTTGGGGTTTTTTTGTTTGTTTGTTTTTTGTTTTTTTTGAGACGGAATCTCACTTTGTTGCCCTGGCTAGAGTGCCATGGCATCAGCCTAGCTCACAGCAACCTCCAACTCCTGAGCTCAAGCGATCCTCTTGCCTCAGCCTCCCAAGTAGCTGAGGCTACAGGCATGCACCACCATGCCAGGCTAATATTTTCTCTATATATTTTTAGTTGGCCAATTAATTTCTTTCTATTTTTTATAGTAGAGATGGGGTCTTGCTCTTGCTCAGGCTGGTTTCGAACTCCTGACCTTGAGTGATCCTCCTCCCACCTTGGCCTCCCAGAGTGCTAGGATTACAGGCGTGAGCCACCACGCCCGGCCTCAAGTGATATTTTTTATCCCACTTCTACCAGTTCTCTCTTCCCCAGCATTCTTGGTAAACTTTTCCTGATTCCATGATAAAAAAACTTCTGCAGATAATAAAAAATATGAGTAAAGGCATGTAATTCTAGGTTACACTCTCTCTGACACTTCCAGGCAGATTTGCAAAGGCCAGTAAGAACTTGAGGAGCATTATTCCCTGTCTCTCTTTGTCTTTCCCCTTGCAGTTCTACTTTGTCTTTCTTACTTCTGTATATAGTTGGCCAGTAAATAATATGGGTTTGAACTGGGTGGGTCCAGTTACAGACAGAATTTTCAATCCAGTGGGCTCTCTATACCGGCGGTTCTGCATCCACAGCCAAACGTGGATTGAAAATAGAGTTTTGAGTATGTGCAGATTTTGGTATCCAGGGGCAGTCCTAGAGCCAATTTCCCACAGATACCAAGGGATGACTGTACTATCATCATATGCTCAACTCCCTCAAGAATCCAGATAGAGAAATTGTAGGCAGTTGTGTCTTATGTGTCATCTGCTCAGGGGAGTAAAAAAAACAAAAACAAAATATTAGGCAGAACTTTGAGTTCACGGAAAGGGTGTATCCTTCTAAATGACCTCATTACCATGTCAGAAGTGATTCTTCTCAACTATCTCCCAGCTACATTTGCTTTTTTTTAATATTTAAAAGGCAGGATGAAAATAAATAAATAAATAAATAAATAAAAGGCAGGATGCCTGGAATCTGCAGTTTCGACGGAGGTCAGATGTGCATTCAAGTCTCTCTGAACTCTTTAGAATTTTGCTTGTTTTTACTAGGAAGATAGCAAATATTGATCTGTAATTGGTAAGAATACCTCTAGGGATAGAATTACAAAATTATATAATTTGAAATATGTGGGCTTCCTTACCCCAAAATGTCTCTCTACCCACAGGGTACTGAAAACTTGACTAGGGGTGCCTTTTCCAAGCACTGATTGATTACCGTGTATTATTTTTCTTATCACTGCCTTCTTTTCTTGCTCATTGAAGAGTTATACATGAGAGGGGTAGATAACCTTGGAGCCTACTGCGTGGGAAAGGCAGGCTTTGGAGAGAGATCTCGCCTGGGACTCTAGAAAGTGATGGAGAAACATGAGGTTACATGTGCAGGCAGGTGGAGGTATTACAGAAAGGTGTACGAAAATCCAGAGGTGAGAGGGTGTGAAAAAATAACTTCATTTTCTTTGCATGGTTGTAAATATGAAAGATTGACAAAAGAGGACCACTAATATGGACATATGTATGATAAAGCTAAAGGCTCACAAGCAATTAGCAAATTAATAGCACATAGCTCCATTTATGCTTATATCTAATGAATGAACAGTTGTTAATTCAAGAGAGTCCTTTATATCCTGATTATACCTTAGAATATGAACCTTTTGTTCTTTTTTTCCTTTTTTTTTTTTTTTGAGACAGTCTCACACTGTTGCCCGGGCTAGAATGTCATAGCGTCAGCCTAGCTCACAGCAACCTCAAACTCCTGGGCTCAAGCAACCCTCCTGCCTCAGCCTCCCAAGAAGCTGGGACTACAGGCATGCTCCACCATGCCTGGCTAATTTTTTCTATATATTTTTAGTTGTCCAGCTAATTTCTTTCTATTTTTGGTAGAGATGGGATCTCACTCTTGCTCAGGCTGGTCTCGAACTCCAGAGCACAAACCATCCACCTGCCTTGGCCTCCCAGAGTGCTAGGATCACAGAGTTTTTTTTTTGTTTTTAGAAAAAACTCCAGCCTGTTACTGAGGCTGGAGTACAGAGGCATTATCATAGTTCACTGCAACCTTGAACTCCTGGCCTCAAGCAATCCTCCTGCCTCAGCCTCCCGAGTAGCAAGGACTACAGGTTTATGCCACCATGCCTGGCTAATTTTTTAATTTTTTGTAGAGATGGGGGTCTCACTATGTTGCCCAGGCTATTCTCAAACTCCTGGCTTCAGGCAGTCCTCCTGCCTCGACCTCCCATAGTGCTAGAATTACAGGCATGAGCCACCACACCTGGCCTCAAAATCTTAAACTTTAAAACAGTTATCTATGACATATAGAATTATAACAGGACTCTAATTGCAATGCCTTCCTGTACTGGGAATGTATATAGTCACTTTTAGTATTAACAAAGATGATTTTACTGAAAGTGATGGTTAGTAGTGATTCTACTAAAAGAGACTGAAAAGACTTATTTGTATGTGACCAGCAGGTTGTTACAGATTATATAGTGCAATGGTGGTTTTGGGTTTGTGGTTTCTGATAGTTATTTGTAGGCTTTGTACTACTGTTACCTATAGCTTTGTTTCTAAGAGCCAATTAAACCCTTTGATTTTACACTCTGTTTTTCTATTTATTTATTCATTCAACAGACATTTTCAGGGTACCTATTGTCACATCCTATTATGTGTTAGAGATACCGAGATTAAACAAAATCCTGCTCTCTAAGAGTTTAGTATATTCACAGATAATTAGGTTCCCTGCTTATCAGTGAGTATACTTCATGGCAGGGTTTACCACCTCAACACTTTGACTTCTTGGGTCAGATTATTCTTTGTGGGAGGGTTTTCCTGAGGAGCATTATAGGATGTTTAGCAGCTTCCCTGGCCTATTATCCACTAGGTGCAGTAACCATACACAGACCCCCAAGTTGTGACAATCAAAAATATTTCTAGGCCCAGTGTGACTCACATCTGTAATTCTAGAACTAAGGAGGCCAAGCTAGGAGGATTGCTTGAGGTCAGGAGTTCAAGACCAGGCTGAGCAAGAGCGAGACCCCATCTCCACTAAAAATAGAAAAATTAGCCAGGTGTGGTGGCATGGGCCTATAGTCTTAGCTATTCAAAGGCTGAGGCGGGAGAATTGCTTGAGACCAGGAGTTTGAGGTTGCAGTGAGCTATCATGATGCCACTGCACTGTATCCGGGGCAACAAAGCAAGACTCTATCTCAAAAAAAAAAAAAAATGTCTCTAGCCATTGCCAGATCCCTGGGGTAACTCCAGACTTTATCTGTCGTTGACAAAGAGCTTTGATAAATGACTTTTCAAAAATGTAATGCAAATGTAACAAAACGTAGATTTGTCAAACTGTGTTTATTACTCCACATGACTTCTCAAAGAGGAATAGTGGTACTGAATAACACCCCACTAAATGTTTATGTTTTAGCTTGGATGTCTATGAGGTCTTCTTTTTCTGAGTTGCTATGTATAGGAAAATAATTGTTCAGTTTCTTAGGGACTTAACTAACAAACAACACAAGTAATAAAGACTCATAATAGACTCACAAGACTCATAATAAAAATCTTAGTTCTTTTTTTTTTTTTTTTTTTTTTTTTGAGACAGAGTCTCACTTTGTTGCCCAGGCTAGAGTGAGTGCCGTGGCGTCAGCCTGGCTCACAGCAACCTCAATCTCCTGGGCTCAGCGATCCTACTGCCTCAGCCTCCCGAGTAGCTGGGACTACAGGCATGCGCCACCGATGCCGGCTATTTTTCTATATATATTTTTAGTTGGTCAATTATTTATTTCTATTTTTGTAGAGACGGGGTCTCGCTCAGGCTGGTTTCGAACTCCTGACCTTGAGCAATCCGCCCGCCTCGGCCTCCCAAAGTGCTAGGATTACAGGCGTGAGCCACCGCGCCCGGCCAAAAATCTTAGTTCTTTACTGAGCTCTTTGTACCAGCATTACCCTTTTCTTATTAAAAATGAAAGTCGGCCGGGCGCGGTGGCTCACGCCTGTAATCCTAGCACTTTGGGAGGCCGAGGCGGGCGGATTGCTCAAGGTCAGGAGTTCGAAACAGCCTGAGCAGAGCGAGACCCCGTCTCTCTACCAAAAATAGAATAAATTAATTGACAACTAAAATATATATACAAAAAATTAGCTGGGCATGGTGGCGCATGCCTGTAGTCCCAGCTACCCGGGAGGCTGAGGCAGGAGGATTGCTTGAGCCAGGAGTTTGAGGTTGCTGGTGAGGCTAGGCTGACGCCATGGCACTCACTCTAGCCTGGGCACAAAGCGAGACTCTGTCTCAAAAAAAAAAAAAAAAAAAAAAAAAAAATTGAAAGTATTTCATTTTCTCCCATTAGCCTGGACAACTGGCATATCTGATAAATGTCTCTTGTGTTTGTTAAGCACATGACTTTGAATTTTGCTACGGATACTAACTTGGACTTTTCTTCACCTTGTTGCTTTTCCGTATTCAGACTTATGAAGAACATTGTACAATCAGGAATTCATTTTACAGCCTTTTAAAGCTTGTCTTCCAGTAATGCCTTGCTTCTCAAAGTATAGATATCACTGTCCTATTGGAAAGAGAGTATTACACTAAGAGTCCTAAAACCTGTGTTTTAGGTCACCTTTGGAACTAACTAACATTAAACATTCATTTAGCCTCTCTCTGTCATAATTCTTTACTTGTCAGATAGATAGATACATACATAAGCTCTTTTATTTTGTTTTCCTGCCAAGTACCTAAATTCCATAAATCTACACTCTTTGCTCACACAAACTTTTGTGTATCCTTATTCTTATAGGATATCTGCATTTCCATTTCTGTGCCTGATAGAGTTTCGATTCATCATGGATAATCTGTCATCAGAAGAAATTCAGACGAGGGCTCACCAGATTACTGATGAGGTAAATGTTTTACTTAGAATAAGTAATTAATTCTATTTCTGTTTTCACATTGGAGGGATGAAAGAGCATTCTTAGAGACCATTTTGGCCTTTTCCTAGTCCCTTTATATCAAAGAACACATTTGCCCCATAATGCCATTGCTAGCTCTTTTTTATCCAACTCACCAAAAAACGAAATAAGTGAAAACAATTTGTCTTTTGTTTTTGTTTTTTTTAGGTAGTCATTACTTAATAGTTAACAACAAAGATATTCTATATCTAAGGAATTCTGGACTTTTTTACTTAATGATTTCCTAACATCTGTGTAATAAATATACTTAGATTTCTATTAATACCTTACATTAAATTTTGTGGCTCCATATAATTTTTGTGACTCCCATTAACTCCACTATCCAAATTTCTCTTAAGGAATTACTGGAAGAAAATAACTAAAAAATAGTGGTCAGCTTTCTTTTCTTTGTTTTAAAGGGAGGGATGGGCTGGCAATTTTTTAAAACAGAGTAGCATCATGAATATGGCCTTCGGTAAGTTGTTTTTTTTTTTCCTGCATATTTTGGAATGCTAAAACTCTATATTTTTCTCTAGTCTCTGGAAAGTACAAGGAGAATCCTGGGTTTAGCCATTGAGGTAAGAAAGTGTCTAATTCTTAAGTTAAATAAGAAATTTATAAGAGAGATCCTAATTCCACTAGCTGGAATTGGTATTAGAGGGTACTGTATCAATACACTTTGTTATTTAAAACGAACAATTACTGAAATTGTCAAATGATGCACTAATAGACCTTTTCCATTTTTCCCTTGGACAGTATTGGCATATGACAAGGAAGATTAATTCATCATGAGTTTGTGACTTAATTATTTTGGGGGATTAATATGTTAAAGTGTGTTGGTTTAAGAATATTATTTCTATCTGTAGTTCTTCTGAGAACTTGTTTCTAAATGATTCTGTCTTGGTCTTTGTCAATTCTTGTAGGTTTTGTTTCTGTTGTTTTTGGATTTTTTTATTGTACTATTGACTTTTTTCCCTTCTTTTAGTCTCAGGATGCAGGAATCAAGACCATCACTATGCTGGATGAACAAGGGGGTGAGTTGAAGTCATTGGCAGAAACTCTTAATTTGACTTAATGATTCCAAAAGCCCTATCAAATGAGCCACATATAAATTTCAGCTTTTGGAAATACATTTCCTTTGCAAGATAAGAGTAATATGTTTCCTTTTTTCTTCTGGTTTGAATTATGTCATGTTCACTGCCTATTAGTGATAGGGGGCAACGATGCCCAAGTGTTTACCAAGTATGTGTTAGGCCAGCATAGCTTATTATATGCATTAGTCATGTGTACATTAGACATATGATATTCTTACATCATCCTCAGAAATCGAGTAAAATCCCAAAATAGGTCTAGATTGAGATGAGCTTGGAAATGTTTGATTTGAGTTGACCCTGAGTAATTTGGTCTAGTTTTTATTAGTTTTGTGACAGCCCTCAGGTTTTGAGCCTATTAAATTAGAAATGCTGGGAATCTAGTCTGGTCAAAGTACACTTAACTTGATTGTAAGGATGATCTCTAAATAACCCTCACTTGTTCTAGTGTACAAGTTTCTTAGAACAAATCTTTCTACAAAAAGAGGCTAGGTGCCTCAGGATGAGTATGTGAAAGATTGTTTTCATGTCGAACAGCTTATAATACCTTCTGACACTGATATATTCACTCTGGTGGGTTATTGGTAGATTTTAGGTTAAAGTTTGATACTCCATCATAATAACATTTTCTGGTTGACATTATGAATGTAACACAAAATGTAACTTCCACAACTTATTCTTAGAACAACTAAATCGCATAGAAGAAGGCATGGACCAAATAAATAAAGACATGAGAGAGGCAGAGAAGACTTTAACAGAACTCAACAAGTGCTGTGGCCTTTGTGTTTGCCCATGTAATAGGTGAGTTGATAAATAAAGACCTTTTTAAAAGAAATCAGTAAATGAGAGCACCTCTGCCCCACATCTTCTTTTTTCCCAAATAAGGTCAGAAGTATGACTGGGCCTAAATGGGGAACTTTGTTAAATAAACTTAAGTTATTTCTCCTTCTGGCAGATCAAGCTTTTCATAAAAATGGGGCATGTTCACTGAAAACCATGGCTTAAATTTAACCAATCCTAGAATCAAGTACCAATTTCAGTTGAAAAGGTTGGGAAATATATATCTGAATGATCCAGAGCAGGATGGAGTTAGTATCTTTTTCTTTCAAACAAGGAGTATTAACAAAATATATATTCTGTGGTAGACACATGAGGGATTGCCAACAGAGTAAAGGACTTGAACCGTGTCTTCATAAGACTTAAACCATGTGGTTATGTATGTGAGAAAGAATGGCAAAAAATAAAAAAATATATGATCTAGTGTTAGTTCATGTGATACCAGCTAAGGCTAGGGATATAGAACTGATAAAAGGTTGGATTGGAGAACATCATATAGAAGAGGTAGGACATGAGTTGGGCTTTGAATGATTAGAAGGATTTGGATGAACAGTAAGGACATTTCCCATGGAAGTTTCAAACTAAAGATTAAGGAAGAAATTGACTTAACTGAGCAGCATGATTCATGTATATGAGAAGTAGAAAATAAACTGTAGTGATAGTAGAGGAACTTGAATGCCAAACTAAGGAGTCAGTAGATTGGAATGGAGTATATGACTGCACACAAGGAGACTAGTTAAAAACCTTACATAATCTAGGTCTGTGCAGTAAGACTTTGTCAGTGAGATTAGAGAGGAAAGTATAAATCAAAGAATTATTTTAGGTAATCTTATTGTATATAAAACATAAAGGAAGAATCAAAAACTGAACATTTGGAATCTCTAGTAGACTAAGAAATGAAGGGTCTTCAAACTATTCCTGTATAGTGTATGAGATTATGCTTGACATGAAGGAATTCATTCCTTTTGGTGACTCCATTGTGGATATTTCAATTCTCCACTTATCCTTGAATAAACCAAACTTTCATAGTGATGATAAGTACTGTATGTATTCAGACCAAGATGAGGTTTGGACTAGGGCAATTAACCATTATCTTTTCTTCTGTTAGAAGAAGCTTATCTTTGTTTTAAAAAAAGTAATTAACAAAACAACCTCGAACTTTAGCCTTAGTTGAAATAACAGTGTCTGGAGAATGAATGACTATACTTACTGATGAAAATTTTCATTTTTAAAGAACTCAATAGACATTAGTACTTCATCCAGTTGTCTCAGTTTGTCTGGTAAACCAAGAGTACTATATAAAGGCTTACAGACTCCCAGCATTTTTGTTCCTCAAAGAAGTTAGGAATGGAAGTGCTTTTGTTATATTGTCATATTTTCAGATATGTGTTTTTATGTGACATTTTCTGTGCCATTTCTACTAGAGAAAATAGAGTTTAATTGCCTGTTCAACTTTAGTGTTTGTTTTGGCCATGAGAAGTTAAGATTTGATAGTGTTCTTCCTAGTCTTATCCTTTGGCTCCCTATTCTAACATAAGTCTGTAGACCTGTTTAGACATTGATTGACTTGTTGAAATCCATATTTTAATAACTCTGACTTGTCGGTCAGGTTTAGCAGATTAAGCAAATAAGTATAAATGCACAGATGATTTGATTCAAACTCTTAGCTATGTTTTGCAAACTTATTGTACTTTTCCCTTGTGTTCCAGTGCAGAGGAGAGGAAATAGGTAAATTTTCTTGAGATCAGATGTTAGAAGAGCAAGGAGGTAGAACGTCCTAGAATCTGTAGCAAGGTCAGCTCTTAAGTTACGAGTTGATAAACAGGAAGAGCAGTGACTGCTAAGATGGTCTAATATAGAAAGTGGGAAATGGAGCTACAGAAGTGTTGATTTTATTTCTCTTTGTATATCCCAGTCAAGCAGTTGCAAGCTTTTCTTGGATACTGGTAGGAGAGAAGGTAGAGTATGACCCTGAAGCGGTCTCAGCCTCTAACCTCAGGAGAACCCTTTCTCAGTGGGTCAGGAGAAGGCACTTCCTAAGAAATGGAATCAAGGGGCTACTGAAACAGAACAATTTTTGCCTAAAAAGGAAAGAGTAATAACCCAGTTAAATATGTCTGATTGTAATTACCTTTCTTCCACATATTTCTTCTTTATACCACTGAGACCTTGGCCAGTGTGGTATCTCTTGTCCTCAGCTCTGTTTCTTGTCATCTGGCCGGTGACTTGATCATTCTAATCTTATCTACTAATCTGTGTTTCGATTAGGCTCATCATAAGAATAGCTATAACATAAGCTTCTCAAAGCAGACACAGGATCTTACAGTAGTTCTCTTTGTATAAGGCTAGTCTGAATACTGGCAGTAATAGCAACGCAGGTCTGTCCACATTCCCTCATATGCAATTCAGCAATCTAAAAAACTCTGAAAGCCAAGGTTCTTTTTTTCTTTATTTTTTTTTCTTTTTTACAGACTCACTTCATGGCAAAGGTTCTTTCTTCTCTGTAACAGTGCCACAACTCATTAGGCTACAAAATATAATCTGAACTGAAGCTATTTATAGTCTTTTATTATGACTCTTAGTGTAAATATTAATATATTTCACTACAGAAATATTGATGTATTTGACATCTTGCATCCAAGGGTTTTGTATGGCAGTTGTGGGCCTGTATGTTAACTTAAGCTACTATTCTGAGCATTTAAATTTAATCCTTAAATAATAATCTTCATATGAGATAGATGCTCTTATTATTTTACATCTGGGGAAACATGTACAAAGAGGCTACACTGTCAAGTGGAAGAGCTAGAATTCAAAACCAGGCAGAGTCCTTGCCTTGACTATTTGCTACATTGCTTGACTGTAAGAAGATAATGGGCTGGGCTCATGCCTGTAATCCCAGTATTTTGGTAGGCTAAAATGGGAGGATCTCTTGAGGCCAGGAGTTTGAGACCAGCCTGGGTAGCATAGTAAGACCCTGAGACTGCCATCTCTAAAAATAAATAAATAAATAAATTAGCCAAGCATGGTGACATGAGCCTATAGTCTCAGCTACTCTGGAGGCAGATGCAGGAGGACCCCTTAAGCCTAGGAGTTCTAGGCTGCAGTGAGTGGTGATCACACCACTGCACTCCAGCCTGGGCAACAGAGCAAGACCCTGTCTCAAATAAATAAATACATGGATAGAAAGAAAAAGAATGAAACTTGTTGTTGTTGCTGTTGTTAGATGTATTGCTATATAGAAAATGTCTTGAGTGGATTTGTTCTTTGATACTTCTTTTGTTCAATAGGATTAACTAATGCCAGGTCAGCAATTTTTTATTTTATTTTTTAATTTAATTTTTTTTTTTTTTTTATTGGAGACAGTGTCTCACCCTATCACCTTAGCTACAGTGCAGGGACATTATTATAGCTCACTGCAACCTCAAACTCCTGGGCTCAAGCGATCCTCTCTTCTCAGTCTCCCAGAATGCTAGGATTATAGGCATTAGCCACTGCACCCAGCCTAGCAAATCTTTTTTTTTTATTATAAGACATAGAAATAGCTTTCCTCAAAAGAACTTTGTATGAGAAAGGAGTTTTAACTATGGCTAATTCTTTCTATAGGACTACTAGAATTTAATAACATACTGCCAGGATTAAACTTTAAAATTGTGACTAAATGCCATTTTGTTAGCTTGTTACATTTGAATTCTAAAGCAAAATAGCACAGATCCTTTTGAAATCCTATATTTTTGACAGTAACTGATAAGTTGTAATTCTAATTTACAAGAGTTTAAAAGGAGGCAGAGTTAAAATAGGAAGTCTCAGAATAGATAAACTTTCTAATGTCCCAGTTTAACCATTCTTAGATAAGGTATTCTTCTGTCTTAACTTCCCTGTCTTATAAAGCGCTTATGAAGTCTAACATAATGAAGCATAGTGTTGTAAACGAGCGGATCAAGGGGACTCGGACACCAGAATCCAGTCAACCAAATTAGTTTATTTCTACCTGCGCAGGGGCTGTCACTACTCCTTGCAAGGAAGGAGAAGCAGCCCCAACAAAGCCTTTGCATTTTTTTTCTTATACCCTGGGGGCTGGCAGCTATGCAAGCGAGCAATCAAAGAAGCTGAATTTAGCAGTTAGTCCTTAATTAAGCGAACAATGGAAAGGTACACTAAGGGACAAGGGACTTTCCTGGAACAGGACCTCTCTAGTCTTTTTGAGAACAGGCCTCTTTGACTCCCTCCTCCCTCCTCTGGGAACTTTCTATGGGAAATTTGCTACACGGGTGGGGGACCTTTTAGTTGGAGTAGGACTGACTCCATTTTAGATCTACAGGAACTCTCTTTAGTCTATCTACTTCAATAGTTTGAAGACAAATTGGTATTTCTGGACCTTTTAGTAGAGTTCAAAATTGACACTACAGGTTTTCTACTATTCCAATCCTATGTCATATTGAGGTGTGAAAAATTCAGCTCTTAATTATTAAATACTGAATTATATTTCATTCAACAGTTGAATGCTTCCTCCATACTATTCACTGGAGATATAAATATAATACAAACAAGGCATACTTCTGGCTTTGTTTTATTTATCATTACTCTTATTTTTTATGCTTCACATGGTGTCTGGATACATAGCAAGTATTCAATAAATACTTTTTGATTGAATGTCCTTGAGAAACTTGTTTAGACATGTAAAAGATTTTTTAAAATTACAATGCAAATAAAATATGTAATAGAAGTAATTAAGAGAAATTTATAATCACTAAGGAAAGAATGAGAAAGTTTTATATCTCCATTAGTTTTTGCTTTCTCTCATATTGATTTTTATAAGTTTAGGAAAGAATAACATCACCCAAACATTCTGAGGAATAATGAAGTGTGCTCTGGTTTAAATAGTGTTCTTATTTTTCTTTTTATCTAGATTCTCAGATGTTGGTGGTTTCTGTGAAAGCAGGCAGGAATTAATGCATTATGTTTTTAAAACTCTAAACCTGCTTCTGTTCTGTTTGAGTGGCATTTACTGTTTTCTGCATTTCATTCTCTCACGTAATCTCTTCCTTTCTAATCTGCTTACTAAAAATGAAGATTTAACATCAGAAGCCGGGCTCAGTAACTGATCAAAGGGAACTTTAAGATGCAGTCTTGTGGCGCAGTTTGGGCTTCTAACCTGCTATCTAAAGGTGATACTTCAAATGGCTTTTCTGTGCATGTGCATGTATTTTGTGAATGGTGGAAACTGTGCTGTGGTGTGTAATGTCAAGTAAATCTGTTCTTGATGGGTGATGCCTGACAAAAGATAAACTTGACAAAACAATCTTAATTTATAATACCATCATTTAACAAATGCCTCCAATAACTGAGTTTTTTTGCTAAAAAATATTTAAGAATACCAAAATAAAAATACTCCCGAGTATTTTTACTGAGTTTCCTAAGAAGTTTTAAATAGGTTGATCTTTGAGACAGCTACTGGAATATAGTGATGATAAAAGGTAAGGGAATTCAGCCTAAATGTATCTTTTTCTTCATAGGGCTTTGATTTCAGCATCCTATCTTTTATTAGATTTACCTATTCCTTTCTGGTTCCTGAATCAAGATTTATTTTATTAGAGTTGCCTCTAATGATTTGGATTCCCTATGATTTAGGCCACTACCAATTCAAGGAATTAAAAGTCAGTCTAGTCATCTTAAATCCTGTTTGGAACAAGGTGGGATATAAATTTTAAATATCATTATATGTAGTATCTTCTTTTTTTAAGTAAGGATTTCCCCTCTTTACGTATGTTATAATCTGTTCCATAATTCCTATTATATCATGTGTTAGCTTGCTATGATTTCATGTTGAATTAATATGGAGCTAACCTTAATTTTTCATTGGGAGTTAACATTTTTGTCAGCTTATTGTTTATTATGTCTGACTCATTAATTTTCAATTTTATGCAAATTATAAAAACCATGATTGAATGTTAAAAAATTAAGTATTTGATTTCTTCCCTTTGTTTCCTGCCTTCTTTTTTCTTTTCTTAGCTTGCCCATCCAAAACACACACACATACACATACATACTCATGCTTACTCATATTACAAATGGTGTTTTTCAATCCCTTTTCTCCTTGATAAAAAAGAATATTAGCTAATATTTGGCTTTCTGTTTGCTATTTTAATTCAGTTCATACTAGTGCTAATGACAACCAAAACTAGGAAAAGAAATTCTTGATGTTTTTGTGCTGCTTATATCTTGATACTTGCTGCTTTGCTTAATAGCAGCTTCTTTAATTGATTAAGGAATATTTTGAATTGTTATTTCAAACTTGACATTCTTGAATGAGACATTTATTTTATTTTATTTTTTTTTTTTTGAGACAGAGTCTCGCTTTGTTGTCCAGGCTAGAGTGAGTGCCGTGGCGTCTGCCTCGCTCACAGCAACCTCAAACTCCTGGACTCGAGCGATCCTTCTGCCTCAGCCTCCCAAGTAGCTGGGACTACAGGCATTCGCCACCATGCCTGGCTAATTTTTTTTATATACATATCAGTTGGCCAATTAATTTCTTTCTATTTATAGTAGAGACGGGGTCTCGCTCTTGCTCAGGCTGGTTTTGAACTCCTGACCTTGAGCAATCCCCCCGCCTCGGCCTCCCAGAGAGCTAGGATTACAGGCGTGAGCCACCGCGCCCGGCCTTGAATGAGACATTTAAATGAATAAAAAGTTAAAAAGTATTAGACTCCTCAAAATGGACAGATGTAAATCTAGCTTTCCAGATGGAGTTCTTAATCTTATTAAAATGTATCACAATTTTGCTTAAGTATTTTATCATGAAGACTAATTTCTTCCCAGAAGGGGCTATACATTTTATTTTGCATAAGAGTTCTATTGCAAATTAGAACCATTCTTTCTTACTGTAGACTAAAACAACTTGGGTCTAGATGTCTTTTATCTAACCATATTCCAGCTATATTCAGCTACCTAGAGACCTCAAATCAAGGGAATATTAATGGGCCAAAACAGTAAGCATGCCAGTTGGTAATCTGTGTACTTACAGGAATGCACTGTTAACTAAGGGTCAGGTTGAGGTTGAAGCCAATGAATAAAGATATTTATCCAGTGATTTATAAAGCAATTTTACATCCATTATCAATCCTTTTCAGAGCCCTGTGAGGTATTAAGTATTGTTGTTATCCTAGCTTCACACATAAGGAAAGGGATGTCAGAGACTAAAGTTTGCTTAAGGTTCTATAGCTACTGAGTCTAGGATTGAGATTCAAGTCATTTTACTCCAAATCTTGTTGCTTTTTTCCTTAATCCTGGTTTATGCCTTGGCTTCCTCCAGATTAATTCCTCAGTGTTCCAGTGTATACAGACTACCAGAGTAATCTGAAATATTCTTCCCAGGTATCTATAGACTCACTGAACTTAAATAAAACAACATTAAAAGATTCCCATTCTCTACCCCATACATACTGAAGCATAATCTTCAGAGTCTATCCTATGTGTCTGTATGTTCAAAAGCACCTAGGTTGCTCTGCTACTTGGTCAAGTTTGGGAAGTATTACCTTTAAATCATTTTTAAGGTTTAAAGTACTTTGGAAAGAAGATAATCTCTTCTTGGTGATGACAAGTGGCAGCGTCCTGAGCAACCAAAAGACATTACTTTGAGTTGAGGTGCTGAATGGAAGACACTGAGCTATCACAAGGCTGGAGATATTTAAGTATGAAATGTCTGGGGGAAAAAATAGTGCATAAGCAGTAAAAATAAATAAAAAAAAGAGAGAAACAGACAGAAAGAAAAGAAAGAGAAAAACAGAAAGACAGACAGAAAGAAAGAAGAAAGGGAAAGGTCCAATTCCCTTAAGTATACTAAATTTGACAGTTAATATCTCTGACATTTCACTTTGACACTTACTGTTTTATTTTTATTACAAAGATACATCCTCAGTCTTTCAAACATACGGTTTGGCTTGTGATTATCTTTCACATTTTTTTAACAGCATTTTTTTTGAAACCACGGATAAGTCAAAAATTTATGTTATTTTCAAATATGAATTCCATTGTGGAACCAATGCAGCCCAGACAGTTCGAAATATCAAGAAATGTTTGGGAAGAATGTGGCTAATGGACACGCAGTATGTTGGTTGTTTGAGAAGTTCAGTTCTGGTGATTTTAATCTTGAAAATAAGCCACGTGGGTGACCTGAGACCAAGGTGGATAATGATGGCCTGAAAGCTGTAGTGGAAGCGAATCCATCTCAACCTATGCATGAATTAGCAGCAAGGTTTGACCTTACTATTCCAACAGTATTGGACCATTTGAAACAAATTGGCAAGGTAAAGAAGCTGGATAGATGGTATTGCTCGTATTAAGCAACCATCAGAAGACAAATTATCTCAAAGCTTGCCTTTCTTTGTTGTCACAACATAAAAGCAAACCATTTATTTCTACACTGTATTATTATATATGAGGACAAATGGAATCCTTTTTACAATCACTGGTGTTCGGCACAATGATTGGATAAAGATGAAGTGCCAAAACACAGTCCAAAACCAAGTACTCGTCAAAAAAAGCTAATGTGTGCTCTCAGTTGGGAAAAAAAAAAGCTAATTGTTTCTGTTTAGTGGTCCAGCATTGGTATTATCTGCTACAGCTTCATGAAATGTGGTCATCCTCTTACATGACAGTGCTTGACCACATGTTGCAAAAACCACTGCTTAAACTACAGAGACTGGACATGGAAACTTTTTTCATCTACTGTATTCATCAGACCTTGCACCAACTGACTATCACTTCTTCCAAGCTCTGGACCACTTTTTGCAAGGAAAAATATTCAATTCTCAACAAGTTGTAGAAAACGCCTTTAAAGATTTTATGGCCACTTGCTCTCTAGACTTCTGAGCTGCTGGCATAAATAAGCTACTGTTCAGATGGCAAAACTGTGTGGATAGTTTAGGCACACACTTTGATTTATTGTACTGCTTCTGGTTTGAGATATAGTACACTAAATTTTTTATTTGAAATCAGACATTTCATATTTAATGACCTAATAAGAATTATCAACAGCATTTAAAAACCACCTCTTCATAAACATAGAATATATAACTACAAGGAAAAAAGTGTAGTTTTTCCAAGCCCATTTGAAGGTAAATATGCCAATTCAATGCAAAGCTGTAAAAAAAATTCACAAATTTCAGAAATTTCAAATTTAGCTTCTTAATGTTGAGAAGGAGGTTAGAGTACATATATATACCATGATAGACCAGAAGCCCACAAGTCATGTTCCAGTCTACTCCTCTTTTTGTGCTAAGAAATATAATATCTCAATAATTACTTTTGATTTTCAACTTTCTTCTGCCTCTTCCATAATCTGACATCCTAATAATAGCCTCACTTTCCCAAATAAAAACCTAAAAGAGGAAAAAAAATCTCCATTTTATTCTGTTAATACTTCTGATTATTAACTTTATGATAAACTAATATATTGTTTTGTTTACTAGCTATTATTCTTCTTTAGAATTTTGCCTCGGATCTTTCTTATTAACAAAGAATACATGTAAATTGGTTTCACCATGCCGACAGATAATTGTATAAAAATATTCATTTAAAAATGTATTAATATATCCTACTTTGTTCCAGGAAAGATTTAAGATGGCTTTTTAATAAATAGATTAATTAATAAAACAAAATAGCATAAATAGGAAATATAATTATAAGAACTTGAAATGGAACCAAGAAAAGTTACTTTGAGAACTAACTCTTCAGTGTTCATAAATTTGTTTATCTTTCCAGTGCCACTCACAAAAAAAGTAGTACTCTTTCTGCATTAATGATTAAAATCTGTAATCCATTTCTAGGTTTGCCAAAAATGAATCCTCACATGGTTGTTAAAGGGAGGAGCTAATTTTTTCATAAAATCTCTTCCTGTCTTCGCATTTTTTGTAATTTTGGAACTTCCTCATTAATGCAAAATGTGGAATAAATCAGAGAACAATATTATAGGAATGTACTACTTTGGTTTTGTTTATAGAATAGTAAAAGCTAAAATTGAAAGCTTGACTCTACCTAGCCAAATAATCTATAAAAGTTTTGTGCCACTTTTTTGTAATAGTCATTCAAAAGTCACTTTCCTAGGTTTTTTTCCTTGCACCTGTTTGAGTATGGAATCCATGGCTAAATTCTGGCTTTGACTGAAATTTGGCTGTATTAGTTATACTTAAAACATATGCTTTTATTTTTAAGAGGCCTAGACTTAGGAATTTTTTTTTTCTTAAGACTGGTCAAGTATGATAGTGAGAAGGGGGGAATTAGTAGAACAAGGAGTTTGATCTATAACTGTGAACAATCAAGTAAGATAACTCATTACCTTTGGACTAGCCAAGATCATTTTTTTTTAAAGGAGAAAAAGTAAACTCATAAATGAAAACCTCTACAATAAAGATATGTAGGCCAGGTGTGGTGGCTCACGCCTGTAATCCTAGCACTCTGGGAGGCTGAGGTGGATTGCTCAAGGTCAGGAGTTTGAGACCAGCCTGAGCAAGAGTGAGACCCGTCTTTACTAAAAACAGAAATTAATTGGCCGACTAAAAATATATAGAAAAAATTAGCCGGGCATGGTGGTGCATGCCTGTAGTCCCAGCTACTTGGGAGGCTGAGGCAGAAGGATTGCTTGAGCCCAGAAGTTTGAGGTTGCTGTGAGCTAGGCTGACGCCACAGCACTCTAGTCTGGGCAGTAGAGTGAGACTCTGTCTCAAAATATATATATATATATATATTTGTAACTGACACCAGTATGGCCAAGGTAGTTATACATTGGCTGATTGTCCAATTTGAAACTAATTCATGTCTTTCCTTCCTGGTATTTTATTTGTTTGTTTTTAAGAAACTTGTTTAAAAATTCATGCAAAAGTGCTCGCTTCGGCAGCACATATACTAAAATTGGAACGATACAGAGAAGATTAGCATGGCCCCTGCGCAAGGATGACATGCAAATTCGTGAAGCGTTCCATATTTTTAAAAACAAAAAACAACAAAAAATATACACGAAAATTCATGCAAAGTTCTAACTTATAAAAACTGATAATCTAGAACTACGCTGGTTAAAATAAGAGTAGGCATCTGGGGTCAGCTGGCCTACTCAATATACGACTATTACCTATGCATAATAATTAAAAATAAATAATAGAGGCCGGGCGCTGTGGCTCACGCCTGTAATCCTAGCTCTTGGGAGGCCGAGGCGGGCGGATTGCTCAAGGTCAGTATAGAAAAAATTAGCCGGGCATAGTGGTACATGCCTGTAGTCCCAGCTACTCGGGAGGCTGAGGCAGAAGGATCACTCGAGCCCAGGAGTTTGAGGTTGCTGTGAGCTAGGCTGACGCCACGGCACTCACTCTAGCCTGGACAACAAAGTGAGACTCTGTCTCAAAAAAATAAATAAATAAATAAATAAATAATAGAAAAAACTATTACCTACTCAGTCTTCTTTTTTTTTTTTTTTTTTTTTTTTGAGACAGAGTCTCGCTTTGTTGTCCAGGCTAGAGTGAGTGCCATGGCGTCAGCCTAGCTCACAGCAACCTCAAACTCCTGGGCTCCAGTGATCCTTCTGCCTCAGCCTCCCGAGTAGCTGGGACTACAGGCATGCGCCACTATGCCCGGCTAATTTTTTATATATATATCAGTTGGCCAATTAATTTCTTTCTATTTATAGTAGAGACGGGGTCTCGCTCTTGCTCAGGCTGGTTTCGAACTCCTGACCTTTGAGCAATCCGCCCGCCTCGGCCTCCCAAGAGCTAGGATTACAGGCGTGAGCCACAGCGCCCGGCCTACTCAGTCTTCTTTATCATCCCTCATCAACCTCTGAGATGCCTCCAAAGAACCTCTTAGGGCATCCTGGAATACCTTTCCTGAGGGATTTTTCTAGTGTCCATTGACCTCTTTTCTAGAGAGTGCTAGAAGCTAAGGGAACCTGAAAAATCAAATAATTGCATTTTGCTACTTGCTAACAGCTTAGTGGAGATTTGGCAGAAGTAGTATTTGGACCTTTTGAAAATGTTTTAGGTCAGGCGCACACCTACAGTCCTACACCTACAGGCTCACACTTACAGTCCCAGCTACCTGGGAGGCTGAGGCAGAAGGATTGCTTGAGACCAAGAGTTCGAGACCATTCTGGGCAACATAGCAAGACTCTGTCGCTGTAAAAAAAAGAAAAAATCAACAAAATGTTTTAATGTCAGTGGGTTTACATAATTCATCTTTTTCCTATCCCATATTGCCATGGAACATAGTATATATAGATCATCTAGATTTAGCTGTGTGCAGCTTTTCTGCTAATGATATTGGGGTCATCCTTAAGGTAACAAGCACTAGTAATTACAACTCTCCCTTTCCTGCCCTTTGGTCTCTCTCCACACTTTTAACTCTTATATAGAACAAAGAATTTTGAGTCTGGTAAGGCCTATAAAACAACATGGGGAGATGGCGGAGACAACTCACCTAGCAACGTAATATCTAAGCAGCCAGGCCGGGCGGCAAATGGTCAACCTCAGCAACCAACAACAGGAGCAGCCAGTGGAGGATACATTAAACGGTATGCCAGCTCCTCCCAATATTAATGCACTTTTCCTAAGGAAGGCCTCACTTACGAGATAAGATGTATAGTACATGAACCCTAACTAATCAAATAGAAATAGTATTTATTCCATTTTTAAAATGCATTTAAAAATCTGCCTGACAAAATGTTTACTGTGGTTGTTGCCCTTGGATGATGGAATTAACTTTTCTTTATACTTTTCAGTATGTTATAAATTATTGGAATAGGAATGTTTTACTTCTTTAAATAGGAAAAATATATTTTAAAATACATCGTCTAGAGCAAGGGTTGGCTAGAGTCCTATAAGGATATCTGTAAAAGGCCGTATAGTAAATATTTTAAACTTTTCAGACCATACAGTCTCTGTTGCAATTACTCAACTCTGTTGTTGTAGGGTGAATGCAGCCATAAACAAAATATGTAAACAAATTAGCATAGCTGCGTTTGAATGTGTTTGTTATTTACACAACAGGTGGCAGGGCATATTTGGCCATAGTTTGGCCTTACGCCATAGTTTTCCAACCTCTGTTTTAGAGTGGTGGTTCTTTAGACTTAAGTGTGCATTTAGAATCACCCAGGGGACTTATTAAAACACAGATTGCTGGGATCCACTTAGAGTTTCTGATTTAGTAGATTTGGAGTGGAGTGTGAGAATTAGCACGTTCCCTTGTCTAACAAATTCTGAGGTGATGCTGAGAATGACATTTCGAGAAATGCTGTTCTCGAGTTGTTTTGTCATCTTCTCTTACATAGTTTTAAGACACTATGCTCTCCTTGATCAGTCTTTCAATTTTTGTTGTAGAATGTTTCCCAAGAATAGTTACCTATATTCCCTTGGATCTTGTACTTACTGAGAGTCATCTTGGTTATACATTTTTATGAAAGTTAAATCCAGATTTAGTCCATTTTAATTCAACAAAAAGTACTGAATTAACTATCTTTTTGTGATAGTATAACTAACGATGCCAGAGAAGATGAAATGGAAGAGAACCTGACTCAAGTGGGCAGTATCTTGGGACATCTAAAAAATATGGCTCTGGACATGGGCACTGAGATTGAAGCTCAAAACAAACAAATAGAACAGATCACAGAAAAGGTAAAAGCTTCCTGTTTCTGGATACTCTCAAATTTAAAAAAAAAAAGGAAAACAAAAATTTATAAAATATTAAAAAAAAAAAAAAAAAGGTAAAAGCTTTTTGTTGCCACCAGAAAATGAAACATCCAGTCCAGTGTTTTAGTGATGAATATCTGTGCTAGATACTTTGGGTGATGTAATGGGATAAAATCCCATCCTCACAGGTCTTACAGTTCTGATGAAGCAGCAGTTCTAATACATTGAAAAACAAGAGCCTTGTGGTCCCATCTCTTGTTTGTGGCAGTTGATTCATTTTAAAACCATAGCCTTTTGTAATCCTAGCACTCTGGGAGGCCGAGGCAGGTGGATTGCTCGAAGTCAGGAGTTCGAAACCAGCCTGAGCAAGAGCAAGACCCTGTCTCTACTATAAATAGAAAGAAATTAATTGGCCAACTAATATATAGAGAAAAAATTAGTCGGGCATGGTGGCACATGCCTGTAGTCCCAGCTACTCGGGAGGCTGAGGCAGTATGATTGCTTGAGCCCAGGAGTTTGAGGTTGCTGTGAGCTAGGCTGATGCCACGGCACTCACCCTAGCCTGGGCAACAGAGCGAGACTCTGTCTCAAAAACAAACAAACAAACAAAAAAAACATAGCCTTAGAGTGAAGTGGTTTTATTTAAATGTTCGCACATGAAGCTTAGTATCTATTCTAAATTTTCAGTGTGCTTTTTTTCCCCCTTAATTAATAAGTTAGCTCTTAGAGTTTTATTTTGTTAACTAATAACAAATTGGTAAGTTTCTGAATCCTTATCTCATGAAAGAGTTGAGGCAAAAATCAGTTCTGCGGAGTGGTTCTTGTGGAGTGGACATACAAAATAGATTCATATAAGTGAAGGAAAAATTATCAATCCTATTCTTCTTTTTATTTCACATGATATAATAGGTACTGAAAGTGAAACTGTTTTTGGTGTTTAGATGTGTCATATCTGAAAGTTATACTTCATTAAAATCTCAGTGTGCTTTAAGGATGGGGTGAGCTTTTAAGCTTGGCTTTCTGTTGAATAATTTCCAATGGATTTCACTGAAGCAAATAATGATTCATAAGATGCTTTCAATGCTGTAGTCTGGGTTTAGGCTACATATTACTCTTTTCAGACAGTGTCTCACTATGTTGCCCAGGCTAGAGTACAGTGGCATCAGCATAGTTCACTACAACCTCAAACTCCTGGGCTCAAGCAATCCTCCTGCCTCAGCCTACCGAGCAGCTGGGACTACAGGTATACGCTACCATGCCCAGCTAATTCTTTTTTTTTTATAAAGACATGGTCTCGCTTTGCTGCCCAGGCTGGTCTCGAACTCCTGGGCTCAAGCGATCCTCCCACCTTGGCCTCCCAGAGTGCTGGGATTACAGGCATGAGCCACCACAGCCAGCCTACCCATTATTTTAATTTGGGTATTGGTGTGGGTGGTGATACATCTGTTCCAAAGATCTTTGGAAAGGTTATTTCAGTCTCTCTGGGTTAGACCTGTCGTAGCTGCAGATGAGAGTCTTATGATTCAGTTCACAGCACTCCCACATAGTCCAGATCTATACAGAGAAGAGCACTCTTATGTTTAATTGCATCAAAAGTGCCACTGATTATAAGATGCACCCCAGTTTCAGACACATTGAACTATGAAAAATTTTGTTATAGAATTGATGAAATACTGGCCAGGTGCTGTAGCTCATGCCTGTAATCCTGGCACTCTGGGAGGCCTAGGCAGGAGGATCACTTGAGGCCAGGAGTTTGAGACCAGCCTGAACAACAGCAAGACCCTTGTCTCTACAAAAAATAGAAAAAAAAATTAGCTGGGAATGGTGGTGCCCACCTGTAGTCCCAGCTACTCAGGAGGCTGAGGCAAGAGGATTGCTCGAGCCCAGAAGTTTGAGGTTGCAGTGAGCTGTGAAGAGGCCACTGTACTCTAGCCTGGGCGACCAAATTAGACCTTGTCTTAAAAAGAAAGAAAAAAAAATTGAAGAAATATTGGCAGGGTCTTTTATACCTTTGTTATGTTTATACACCAGGGTTTTCCCAAATGAATTTCATATTCTGTTACTTCTTGCCTAAAATGAATTTTGTAATGTGACTTCAAGTATTTCTTAAATTTTCTCAGTGTTTTGACTACTGTAGGTATATAAAATTTAGCTTTTATTAGAGTTACTTACCTTGTGAAGTAATGCTGGTTTCTTTTTCTTTTTTTCAGGCTGACACCAACAAAGATCGTATTGACATTGCCAATGCCAGAGCAAAGAAACTCATTGACAGCTAAAGCTACTGCTGTACTTCTTTATCATTTATTCACTTCCTAGCTCCTCCTCCGAAGTCATTATCTTTTTCAGAGTTTGAAATTTTGGCTCTATACTCTTCTAATCGGGAAATAATGTGGAAGAAGGGCCAGAGGAGTAACAGCTGCTCCCCCAACCCCCATTTTGTGTTTTCTGTTGCTGTTGAGGGTAGACTGCTGCTCAGCCTTCTTTCTGGTATTGTCTTTCTCAGTTCATAGTCTTAGATTGGTTTTCATACGTCACATATAGTGTTTTCATCTTCTACTTTACTTAAGCAGTTTTTTTCACTTTCAAAATTTGGAAGCATTGCCAAAGACAACCCTGAGAAAGGAAGCTGAAGAGCTGATTGGTTTATTCCTTTGTTTTTATAGTGGCAGAAGGGTGAGAGAGGAGGAAGAGATAAGAGGTTGTTCTCTCAGTAAAAACCTGCAGGCCACAAAACAAGTTGCATAGCCACAGTAAAGATCTAGTTGGGTATAATTTTCAATTTAAGTTGCAGTTATTGCCAATTTAGGCTAATGCTTGATTTAGAGCTTTTATACACAATATTTTTGTTATACATCACAATTTTTGCAACCTCTCCTCCAGATAGAATAGAATGAGTTTTCTTAAAGTGAGCTTAATTTCTGAACTCTTAGTGATTCATATATGTATATAGATTCTGTGATCCCATTTCTTATTGCTCTTCAGGAACACTTGGGATAAATGAATAGTTTTTTATTTTCACATTATTAGTAGTATCTTGGTCCCAGTACAGGCCTATTAACCTCATATATATGTCATTAGTCTTTGAAGAAAATATGTAAATATATATTTGTAACATGAGAATTTCTCTCTAAAGCAGGGCTTAAATTTTTTGAGAAAGTCTGACAAAGTATATCACGTAAATTCAGATTTACCTCAGTGCCAAGAATTATGTTTAGATAGGAAAAAGGAAACTTATTTTGATCTCAGGTAGAAAAATAGATTGCTTTGAGTTTTATGTGGCTTTAGATTTTAAAAATTAGTATTTATCCTGTCTTACTAAAAGGAATTTGGAAAATTGTGCCTTTGGTTTGATTATTGGTGATTACACTGTCATTCTCTTACCCTTGTGTATTGAACTATGTCCAGAATCAAGTTTATGTAGATGTTATGAGATTTGGATTGGTATTTGTTACCTTTATTTAAAAATTAATATCTGAACACTTCAAAGATATCAATGTGGATTGGTTTGGCCACTAACCACTGCTTGATCCTTTCAATTAAATTTTGTAACTAACTAATGGTATTGTTTTTTCAAGTAAGTAACATGTTTTTATGACTTATTTGGGGGTCAATAATTTCATTAGCTCTTGTTTAACAAATTGAATAAAGCAAAAATCCGTAAGTCAAGAAGCACTCCTGGCCGGGCGCAGTGGCTCACGCATGTAATCCTAGTACTCTGGGAGGCTGAGGTGGGCAGATTGTTTAAGTTCAGGAGTTCAAAACCAGCCTGAGCAAGAGTGAGACCCCGTCTCTACTATAAATAGAAAGAAATTAATTGGCCAACTAATATGTAGAGAAAAAATTAGCCAGGCATGGTGGCACATGCCTGTAGTCCCAGCTACTCGGGAGGCTGAGACAGTAGGATTGCTTGAGCCCAGGAGTTTGAGGTTGCTGTGAGCTAGGCTGACGCCATGGCACTCACTCTAGCCTGGGCAACAGAGCGAGACTCTGTCTCAAAAAAAAAAAAAAAAAAGAAGAAGCACTCCAATAGAAAGCTGCCTTTAGCACCTTCCCAATTTTTATTGGAAGTATTGACAAGACTTTCTATAATTTGTCATGAGATTCATTTAAATTATTACTAGTTTTTTATTCATTTGGTCTTAAATACACTAGTGACTGAAAGGATAGTTTCTGAGAATGACAACTTATGTACTAGAGATGATACAGTTAACATGGGAATTTCAGAGTCTGAGGAGGAAAATATTAAAGTGAGACTCACTTAGACCCTCTGTAATAGAAGTGCTCCATGTCAGAAGTAGTAGTTTGGCAGATGGTGGTAAATGTGTAAAGTAGGAAGGTGTAAAGTAGGAAGGGGATTATGCTATACCTAAATGCCCTTCCAAAAAGCACTCAAATTTTTTAACACTATTCTGGCCAAAAACAATTAGTTCTGAGCAACCCAGTATGCTGCACGTGTGGTATAATTGGTTAGAAGCATGAGCTAAGGCACCAAATTGTTTGAATTTACACTCTAGCTCTGCCACTTGTTGGCTAAAGTGACTGTAAGCTCATTTTTTTGCCTTAGTTTGTATGTAAATAGAGATTATAACAAGCATATCTGTGATTTTGTGGGTTTGGTACTAGACCACCAAAATAAAGCAAACACCGCAATAAAGTAAGTCACAAGAACTTTTTGATTCCCTAGTGCATATAAGAATTATGTTGGCTGGGTGCCGCGTGGCTCACACTTAATCTTAGCACTTTGGGAGGCTGAGGTGGGAGGATCGCTTGAGGCTAGGAGTTTGAGAGCAGCTTGAGCAACACAGTGAAACCTCATTTCTACAAAAAAAAATTTTTTTTTAATTAGCCAGGCATCACTTGAGCCCAGGAGTTTGAGGTTGCAGTGAGCTTTGATGACACCACCTTACTGTAGCCCAAGCAACAGTGAGAACCTGTCTCAAAAAAAAAGAAAAAAAAATTATGTTTACACTATTCTATGGTCTACTAAATGTGTAATAGTATTATATTAAAAACAGTGTACATACCTTAATTAAAAATACTTTATTGCTAAAAAATGCTAACAATCATCTGAGCCTTGAGCAAGTTGTAATCTTTTTGCTTGTGCAGGGTCTTGCCTTGATGTTGATGGCTGCTGACTGATCAGGTGGTTGCTGAAGGTTGGGGTGGCTGTGGCATTTTCTGAAATTAAGACAACCATGAAGTGTGTCACATCTATTGACTCAGCCTTTCACAAAAGATTTCTCTGTAGCTTGCAATGCTGTTTGATAGCATTTTACCTACAGTAGAATTTCTTTTACAATTGGAGTCAGTGCTCTTAAATTCTGCTGCTGCTTTATGCACTAAGTTTATGTAATCTGAATCCTTTGTTATTTCAACAATGTTCACAGCATTTTTATCGGGAACAGATTCCATCTCAAGAAGCCACTTTCTTTGCTTATCCATCAGAGGCAACTCAAGTTTTATCATGAAATTACAGCAATTTAGTCACATCTTGAGTCTCTAATTCTAGTTCTCTTTCTATTTCTACCACATCTGCAGTTACTTCCTCCACTGAAGTCTTGAACCTCTCAAAGTCATCCATGAGGGTTGGAATCAACTTCTTCCAAACTCCTGTTCATGTTAATATGTTGACTTCCTCCTGTGATTCATGAATGTTCTTAATCGCATCTAGAATGGTGAATCCTTTAAAAAAGGGTTCAATTTACTTTGTCCAGATCCATCAGAGATTCCTCACTTATATATGGCACCATAGCTTTATGAAATGTATTTCTTAAATAATAAGACTTGAAAGTCAAAATTACTCCTTGATAGATTGGGCTACAGAATGGATGTTGTGTTAGCAACACAACCTGAATGAAAACAACCTGGCCTTACCTAAAATGAAAACAACATTCAGGTCCTGCATAGTGGCTCACGCCTATAATCCCAGCACTTTGGGAGACTGAGGTGGGAGGATCACTTGAAGCCAGGAGTTTGGAACCAGACTGAGCAACATAGCAAGACCTTGTCTCTACATAAAAGAAGAATTATCCACCCTGAAGGGTTATGGGGAAAAAGATAGAAAAAATTAGCCAGGCATGGTGGCCTGTGCCTGGAGTCTCGGCTACTCTGGAGGCTGAGGCAGGAGGATCACTTTAGTCCAGGAGTTTGAGGTTGAAGTGAGATATGATGACACCACTGCACTCTAGCCTGAGCAACAGAGCGAGACCCTGTCTCAAAAAAACAAAATAATATTCATCTCCACCAGAGCTCTTGGGTGACCAGGTACATTGACAATGAGCAATAATATTTTGAAAGGAATCTTTATTTCTGAGCAGTAGGTCTCAATAGTGGGCTTAAAATAGCCAGTAAACCATGCTATAAACAGATGTGATGTTGCCCAGGCTTTATTATTCTATTTATAGAGCACAGGCTGAGTGTATTTAACATAATTCTTAAGGGCCGTAAGATTTTCAGATTAGAGAATGAGCATTGGCTTCAACTGTAAAGTCACCAGCTGCATTAGTCCCTAACAAGAAACTCAGCCTGTTCTTTGAATCTTTGAAGCCAGGCATTGAGTTCTCTAGCTATGAAAGTCTTAGATGATATCTTCTTTCAATAGAAGACTGTTTTGTCTGCATTGAAAAATCGGCTATTTAATGTAGCCACCTTCATCAATTGTCTTAGAACTTCTGGATAACTTGCTGCAGCCTCTCCATCAATGTTTGCTGTTCCATCTTGCATTTCAATGTTATGCATATGGCTGCTTTCCATAAACCTCATGAACCAACCTCTGCTAGCTTCAGGCTTTTATTCTGCAGTTTCCTCACCTCTCTCAGCCTTCATGGAATTGAAGAGAGTTAGGGCCTTGCTCTAGTTTAGGCTTCAAGGGAATGTTGTGGCTAGTCTGATCTATCCAGACCAATAAAACTTTCCCCATATCAGCAAGATGGCTATTATGCTTTTTAACCATTCTTGTGTTCACTGGAGTAGCATTTTTAATTTTCATTAAGAACTTACTCCTTTGCATTCACAACTTGGCTGTTTGGCACAAGAGGCCTAACTTTTGGCCTGTCAGCTTTTGATATGACTTCCTCACTAAGCTTAATCAGTTTTAGCTTTTGATTTAGAGAGACATGCAACTCTTCTTTTCACTTAGACACTTATAAGCCATTGTAGAGTTATATATTGGCCTAATTTCAGTATTATTGTATCTCAGGAAACAGGGAAACCCAAGGAAAGGGAGAGGACAGGGGAATGCCAGTTGGTGGAATAGTCAGAACACACATTTATCAACTAAGTTGGCTATCTCATATGGGCATGGTTCATGGCACCCCAAAACAATTATAATGCTAACATCACAGGTCGCCATAACAGGTAAAAAAAAAATAATAACATTTGAAATATTGTGAGAATTACCAAAATGTGACACAGAAACAGGAAGTATGCACCATTGGCAAAATGGCAACACAATGCAGGGTTGCCAAAAAGCTATTAATATTTGTTTAAAAAAATGCAGTATCTGTGAAGTACAATAAAGTGAAGTGCTCCAGCAAACTGGTACTAACTAAGTGGACACATAGGTGCTACAGTAATAGGGTATTGGGGAGGGGGGAGGGGGGAGGGGGCCGGGTATATACATACATAATGAGTGAGATGTGCACCATCTGGGGGATGGTCATGATGGAGACTCAGACTTTTGGGGGGAGGGGGGGAAATGGGCATTTATTGAAACCTTAAAATCTGTACCCCCATAATATGCCAAAATAAAAAAAAAAATTAAAAAAAAAGTGAAGTGCAATAAAATGAGGTATGCCTATAATTCCTATCTTATAGAATTGTAACCCATAGAGTTGTAACTTAGCAGGTAAAACACTTACAACAGTGCTTGGCAAATATAAGAACTTAATAAACTAACTGCTGTTCTCTCTAGAGTAGAGCTCTTTGGTCTAGCACCCCTTTGTTAATTTGATAAGAGATAACATAGCCCGTTTCTCCAGAGAAGTAGGCACACAACTGTGAATCATGCATAAATGCAAATCATGGAGTTTCTTAAGAGCTCATCTGTGGATCCCAGGTTAAACTTTACAACAGCTTCTTCTACTGAGAAAGAGGTGAGGCCATAGAAATTAGGCCTATAATGCACTAGAAATATTAATAGAAGCTGTTCACTTAAAGCCTTTTCTGATTTTCTCCCATTAACAGTGTCTGGAAACGTGTTTCTGTCACTTTTGGAAAGTAGTAACAGATGGTTAACACAAGCTCTGGAGTCTGACCACCTTGGCTCAGATTTTAGTCATTTACTCGTTTTGTAACCTTGAGCATAATACTAAATTATAACTAAGGAGGTAAAAAACTATACCTCACTGAACTGAACTTGCTTTTTAACAGTAACCTCCTACAGGGTTCCAGTCTTATAATGACCATGATCTTTATTGTCTACAGCTGCACCTATTTTTTCTTCCTTCCATTTTTTTAAATTTCTACAGAAAATGATCAGTCCTTCCTTCAGTTTTAATTCATCCTTTGTTTCCACACTTAAACTAGATCTTTCCATGTCACTTGTGGATTATGA